ATACTTGGACCGCGCGCGTCGTCGTTACGCTTCGGTCTCTACCCTCGCTTTACGATCGACTCTGCTCCGTTCGCTCGTCGCTCTCATCGCGGACACGCTCCTCTTTGAAATCGACCCGCGCACCCGCTACTTTGCGCGAAACTTCCTCTTTGATATCCTACTCTTCCTTTTCTCCTATCGCCAACTCTCTCTCTCTGTTTCTCTTTCTCTCTAGCGGCGCGGTGAGCGAGGCGATTAATTTAGCAACTCGACGCTCGCTAACGCGATCCGATTCTGTCGCGCAGCGGAAGAGGAACTGTTGCACACGCGTCCTACGGAAAAAATGATCGGACCGAAACGATCCCAGGAATGGCGACCAAGTTATACGATTTCGCTGACACGGGCCGACCAAACGGTTGGACCACTTCCCAGACCGATTTACAGCGTTCACGGTGGACGCGCGGCGAGTGGTAAGCCGTGATAAATTTCCTCGCGCGTCGCCTTCTCCCTCTTCCTCGCTGTGGCAATGCCAAAGCGTCGTCGGGACGTATAAATCGTTGCAGCCACCGGCGCGGCGCGCCTCCCGCCGGATATTTTACTCTATATCGACCGGGCTAGCGCGAGAAAAAATACCGCAGATTTTTCTCCTCGGTGGACGCGCGCGCGAACAAAGGTCGTTGCTCTCCGGTTCGTTCTCCAGAAGCGAATTCGGCGATGATGGATTAGCCAATGGAAGAAAGACCGTCGAGAAACGTCACGCGATGCCTGCCAGCGTAAAACTCGTGCGTTTCCAAAGGAGCAACGGACGAAAAAGGGGACAGGGGCGGAGGAAGGAGGAGCGGCGCTGGCGGGGACACGCATTGAAAGGGTGCGCGGTTTTCAGGGCGCAAAGCAATTTTCTACGGAAACGAACAAAGGCGGGACTCGGCTGGCCTAAGGACAGATAGCGTTTGTCGATCGAACGACAGGTAGCCAATTACGTCCAGCTGCGGAGCGTCGATGCGAAATTGTGAGAGAATTTGCGAATACGGTGGGTGGGGTCGGTTGCTTCTCTCTTTCTCTCTCGGGACCGATCGTACTCGAGGGAATTTCGTCCGTTTCTGCCACCCGTTCACACCGGAGAACCGGCGAACCAGGAACACGGTCCTGACGTATCCGGCAGTAGCTCGTCGATCGTTATCGCGATTCGCGCGGATGGGAATGATCGGTTGCGGGAAGGAGCGTCGAAAAAAAGAGCCGACGGATTCCCCTGCTACTCGGTCCCACCGCAGACGCTGCGCGAAATGAAGCCGTAGGTAATTGAAAGGGATGCTTTCGCACCCGACCCGCTACTAATAATAGATTTAATAGAGACGCGCTCATCGAACGAGGGGTCCCGTGCGCCGCTATTTAGTGCCGCTTGCGCGCTGTCACGCTCCCCAGCTTCTCTCCTCTCCTCTCCACGCCGCTCTCTATCCGTCGCGTAGCGGCGATACGCGTCGACGTCGGTCCGTCCGCGGAGCTGCTCTGCGAAACGGCGCGTTGGCCGTTGGACGACGAGATCGGAGCATGTATAAGCGTGTGTGCCAGCCGGCCAGCCGGCCAGCCGCCGTGTGTGGTTTCCAGAGGGGCCTCCTCTCCCTCTCCCTCTCCCTCTCCCTCTCCCACTCTGTCTCATTTGAACGCGATTATTTATGTTTTCTTTCGTTCGTGCATGCCGACGCCGACGCCTGCAGCCACTAAAACCATCGACTCCTTCTTCTTCTTCTTCTTCTTCCTCCTCCTCCTCCTCCTCCAGCTTCTCTCCTCTAGTTCCTCCTCTTCTCCACCTTCTTACGCTTCTGCTTCTGCTTTTGCACCCGCTCCACCTTCTTCCGCGACGCGATCCTCCTCTCTTTCTTCTCATCTCGCCCGGAATTCACGAAACGTGAAACGACTTAGCAGGCAGTTGGTCCCGTTTCACCGTCGAGCAGCTAATTGACCAAGGTGTACAGCCACAAAGTAGATGCGAAGATAGCGATTTACTGCCGCGGAGCGCGATGATCGCGCGATTATGCAATCACAATTACCGGGCGATCGCGTTGAAGCCGCGGCGACGCATCGCCGATCATTTTTCGACCGCGAGAAATTTACGAATGTCACTTTCCGATGTTCCGACGCGACACTCTTGGCGACCGTCCAAACTATCCTTCTGCCACCACCAGCATAAACACCGCGCTCGCGACAATGTCGCGCGAACCACTTTCTTCGACTTTTACTTCTCGGACGAGGAAACTTTGCCAACGTGGGACGCGTTTACGTGACCCGAACGGAACCCGAAAGGAACCCGAGCGTTATCTCTCGACCAGCGTTATCTCTGCCTCCTTGAGACAACGAAATTGGAGAACCGAACGATTCCGAGGGGCCGTCAAAGCCGAAAACCCTCGGAGAAAGAGGTGGAACGTGCCTGTAGATACGTCGATTCCAGAAGCGTAAGCGTCGAGCGGGACGATTAGGAACGAAACGATCCGAGAAAGATTGAGAAAGGAAGGGAATAAGCGAGGAGACATCAGCTGGCGATAAGGAGCCGGCAGAACGGATGGAGGAATACCAACGGCGGGCGAGCGTGGCCAGAGGGAAGAAGGACGGCAGTTAGGTTATGAATTATGACGCGTGCGAGCGAGAAAGACGAATCGAGTCGGTGTTAGAGGTCGTTACGAGAGAGCCGGCAGGGAGGAGGGACAAGACGAAGACAAAAAGCATCCGCAACGATACGTAGTTCGTGGCGCACACGGGAAGTGGCTGCCGGGGGAGAGAAAAAAGAGGAAAGAAGAGGGGAAAAAAAAAAGAGAGGAGAAGGAGTTGGTCCCTGCTAAACGAGCGCGCCCCTCGACGATGACGAGCACGAGGAGGACCGGAGTAGAGAGCGCAACGAGGCCGACGAACAAGACGAAAGACACCACCGAGAGCACGATAACGACGGCCGAGCGATGGGAGAGCCACGAACCGCGACGAATGAATTTCGAGACGGCCGGCTAAACGAGCCAGCTTCTCCTCTTCTTCCACAAATTTCTCCTCTCCCCTACTCTGCTCGCTCGCCTTGCTACTCGCCTGCTGTTTCGCCAGATTGATGCGCGCGATCGGATTTATCGAGCAACGATCCTTCTTCTCTCCTCGCTTTTCGCGTCCTTGGGACGCGCCACGCCGCGCCGACCAACGGTGACAAACGGTGACAAACGGTGAC